GTGACTACATATTGAGGAGCTATTTCCTAGCAGACATCTGAGAGTTGGTAAAGAGCAATAGAAGAGTAGCTCGCTTAGGAACATGCGTAAACTTCCTGTGGACTTAGATAAACTATTTTGGAGAAACGGTGTCAACCATGCAGGAAGTAGAAAAGACAACACAGGACAGGATTTAGAGTGAAGAGGGCTGTCTGGGATAAGGTGTACATTTAATGTTTTGGTTTCTAATGTGGAAGTTTCAGAAGGCTGTCTGGATGTCACTAAATTCACCACTGGTCCCAGATAAAACAGGAAGAGCAGAAAGTACCATGCCCAGCAAACTAGTGATTTGGGCATAGTACTGCCCCAAAGGCTTGGTCCAAGAATGGGAGAATTCTTGACCAGCGGAGCTGGAGGCGGGAGCCTGACATTTGTAGCAGTGTACTTGGCAGTTAGCTTATCTACATCTGTAAGGCTCAAACGCACTATGCTACTGGGAGTGCTACCTCCCCGCCCGAAATTAATATAACCAACCTTGCCTCTCAGCAATGCTTTTGGTTCTTTGACAGGCTCCGCCCAAAGCTGCTCCACTTCTACCAGTTAGGGAGGCAGCGGCGAAAGAGCAGCGTACTGAGTTGGAGTTTCTCCTCCTCTCCTATCTGAAACAGTGACTTCTCCGTGTAGCCCTGCCCTTGATTTCTGAAAACTTGCAGGCAATTAAACAATTGAAAGCTGAGTGTCAAGGGAGCTGGAGTAGATTTTGTAGCTTTAATATCACTGGCTAGTGCTGTGTTGAGATGGACTTTGTAGCTCCATTTAGAAGATCTAAGCGGGTGTTGGATGCAGGTTCTGAGACTCGTCAGGGAACGGTAGCCTTTGCGGAAATGTCCTTCTTTATGTAGTCAGTTATGGATTCAGTTGCCATTTTAGCCGAAACCTAAAATCAGACCCGATAATGTAATACAAGTATTCGGATCTTAGTTAATGAGTTTCTCCTGGTGTGCGATAATAGATATCACAAACATGGAGGTGAGACCTCAAACGTATGGAAAGTGAAGCCTTACATATAGGTAACAGTTTTTAACGAAAGACAAAAGGGGACAGCTTTGACTTGAGGAAAACAAGTCGAAAATTTCCTGCAGAAAATAGTCTTCTGCTATATGCACTCCTTTTGTCAAAACTCACATTACATACGTCCTGTTTTGTATAGAAATATACCAAGTAATAACATAGGCTGGATATTCTGTGCTTCCTCCAAAAAAGGCATGGTTCTGGCAAGGATGTCAAAGAGGAAAAAAAATGGCCAGATTTTCGAAATAGAGTATTCTAATCAGTAATAAATATAATTTATTGATAAAATATTGACATTCTTCATATCGAAAACACATTTACTTTAATTATAGCAGAAACCAAACTAGGGAAATCTAGCCAAAATTCGGTTATACAGCATGTTAGAAACTTTCACATGGATACAGACGATCCTTTGGATAAATATTTTCCAGAGCTGCTATGGTATGGATCTCTACTATCTACAGTGTATTATAAAATCTTTAATTCTTAAATCTCCAGACACCTGAAGTTGCTTTAATAAGCACCGGTTGTAAAAGTAACGGTAAATATTAGAATTTAAAAAAAAATACTAAGACAAACAAAAAACGGGTCCGAATATAACACTTGCATTTTTTCATTCCCTCTTCCTATATTTAAGATGATATATTAAGATGAAAAAAGGAATATACATAATATCCTTTAGGTAGTTGTCCTGTCACAATGACGCTTTCCAGCACTGTTCCACTCACTTTTTACAAATAAAACGCCAACGAGCATAACGTCCTGTCGCTTGGTGGCGCCGTTGCCTAATACGAGGAAAGCGTGACCTGCAGTAGCTGAAGTCCCGGCTCTCCGGCAGGAAAACACTGTCTCTAGGAAGAAGAAGCAGAAGCAGGAGAGCGGCTGTCTCGTCTCCCCCTTTTGAGAATGTCACAGAACATATCGACACAATTCAACTTGTGACATCTAAAGCGACTCGGTAGGAAATCGGGCTGGTGGGATGAACCGGGTGGGGGACCCGGAGGCAAAAACAAGGCGGAGCAGGCAAGCCGCGTCTGTCCTTCTGCTCCTGTGCGTGGGGGCGATCGGCTCGGAGACGGTGCGGTACTCGGTGCCGGAGGAAATGGAGAGCGGGTCCTTCGTGGCTAATGTGGCAAAGGATGTGGGGCTGGAGCCCAGGAGCCTGTCTGCTCGCAGGGCCCGCCTGGTGTCGGACGCCGCGAGCCGGCATTTCCAGCTGAATGGCAAGACTGGGGACTTGCTTATCAAAGAGAAACTGGACCGCGAGGAACTGTGCGGGCAGACGGAGCCCTGCCTTGTTCGCTTTGAGCTAGTCCTGGAGAATCCCTTGCAGTCGTACCGGGCCGAGGTGCGGGTTACTGACATAAACGATCACTTTCCGTTTTTTTCCAGAGCAGAATTCGTCTTTAAAATGCTCGAAACGACCCCTGCTGGGTCACGGTTTCCCCTGGAGAGCGCTCAGGATTTGGATGTGGGAAACAACAGCCTTCAAAGCTACAGCCTTAGCTCCAATGGGCATTTCCATGTACATATGGAGGAACAGAGCGACGGCACGAGACATGCGGAGCTAGTGCTGGACCAAGCCCTGGACCGAGAGCAACAGCCAGAGCTTAGTTTGCTACTCACTGCCCTGGACGGCGGCTCCCCGCCGAGGTCCGGCACTGCGCAAATCCGCGTCATTGTCCTCGATGCCAACGACAACCCTCCCGTTTTCTCCCGGGCCACTTACAAAGCCCAGGTTCTGGAAAACAGCCTCAGAAATTCCCTTGTTGTTACTGTTTCTGCCACCGATTTGGACGAGGGAAGCAACGGAGAAATCTCCTACTCCTTCAGCCAGAAATCCATAGAAAGTAGCATCGCCTTTCGTATCAGCGCCGTGTCGGGGGATATGCGGCTTCTGGAAGAACTGGATTTCGAAACGAGGAAGACCTATGAGCTCTACATTGAGGCCGCGGACGGCGGGGGCCTGTCGGCGCACTGCAAAGTCCTGGTGGAGGTGGTGGATGTGAACGACAACGCGCCAGAGGTGACCCTGACATCGCTCATGAGCCCCATCCCCGAGGACGCGCCCCCCGAGACGGTGGTGGCCCTGCTCAGCGTCAGGGACCGCGACTCCGGGGACAACGGGAGGGCAGCCTGCTCCATAGAGGACGCGCTGCCCTTCTCCCTGAAGGCGACGTTCCGGGACTCGTACGCGCTGGTCACGGAGCGGGCGCTGGACCGCGAGAGCGTGTCGGAGTACAACATCACGATCGTGGCGCGGGACCAGGGCGCCCCCAGCCTGTCCGCCGAGCAGAGGATCAGGGTGAGAGTGTCCGACATCAACGACAACGCGCCCGTGTTCAGCCAGGCGGCCTACACCATGCACGTGCGGGAGAACACGGCGCCCGGCACGGCGATCGGCACAGTGCGCGCCGCCGACGCGGACGCGGAGCACAACGCCCGAGTGACCTACTCGCTCGTGCCCGCCGGCGCCGGCGCCGGGGCCCTGCCCGTGCTCGCCTACGTGGCGGTGAACTCGGCGGACGGCAGCGTGTACGCGCTGCGCTCCCTGGACTACGAGCAGACGAGGCAGCTGGAGGTGGGCGTGAGAGCGACGGACGCCGGGTCCCCGGCGCTCAGCTCCGAGGCCGTGCTGCGCGTCGTGGTGCTGGACGAGAACGACAACGCGCCCTTCGTGCTGCACCCGCTGCAGAACAGCACGGCGGCGTGGAGCGAGCTGGTGCCGCGCTCGGCCGAGCCGGGCTACCTGGTGACCAAGGTGGTGGCGGTGGACGCGGACGCGGGGCAGAACGCCTGGCTGTCCTACCAGCTGCTCCGCGCCACGGAGCCGGGGCTCTTCGCCGTGGCGCTGCACAGCGGCGAAGTGAGGACGAGCCGGCCGCTGACGGAGCGCGACACGGTGAAGCACAGGCTTATTGTGCTCGTCAGGGACAGCGGGGAGTCGCCCCTGTCCTCCTCCGCCACCCTCAACATCCTGCTCGTGGACGGCTTTTCCGACGCCTACCTGCAGTCCGCTGATGCCGCCGCCGCCGCCGCCGCCGAAGGGGCCGACACAGGCGCTTTAACCATGTACCTAACCGTCTCCCTGTGCCTCGTGTCCTTCCTCTTCCTGCTGTCCGTCGTGACATTTGTCCTGCTCAAGGTGTGCCGGAGGAGAGGGGGCGGGGAGCAGTACACCAGTGCTCCCGGCACGTTGTATGGCGACGGCAACTTGCCGAGAGACTGGGTGGATGTGTCGGGGACCGGCACCCTGTCCAGGAGTTACCGATACGAAGTGTGCTTGAGCACGGGGTCGGGGAGCAGCGAATTCCGGTTTCTGAGGCCCCTCGTGCCCTGCCCTCCGCAGCAGGGGGGCTGCGTCGTGACGGGCTCCGGGAAGGAACGGGATCTTCTCACCGACTCTCATGCGCCCACCGACTTGGAAGGCGCCGACCAGGTAAGGGTTGGGTGGGCTCTTCCGCCCTTCATTCTCTATGAATAGGTCCTCAATTGTTTTGACTGGCGAATGTTGTTCATGTGTTATCAGTTTTCAAAATCTACTTTCGTTGCTTTATGGTGAACTCAGGTGCATTCTTGCAAACTGGACTCTTTTGGTTACATTAAACATCTGACATCAGTAGGTACGGTATGTAGCGGAGAGCATTACTTTCTGATTTAAACCGTGTTTCATTTTAGAGTACTACTGGTGCATTGGACGCTTTAAGTAAATTATTAGCCCGCGTTGGTAGTAATTATTTGGAACCTTCTAATAAGGTCTGCTTCTTTTAGACGACGGGAAAAGTCATGTTTCCCATTTATTTCTTGCATTATTGCTACCGTGAGAGCCTTACATAACCAGAGATGGTACGGGCAATATTCAGAGGCAATTATTACTGAGTAAGTTGTAGACCTCCTTCAAAACAGAAGTAAACTGAAAACGTGTGTTTCCGAAGTGGGGTACAATAACGGAGAATTTTTTTTTTAAATGGGACGTTTTAAGAACCTAATATATTTATTATTAGGAAATCCTTTTTTCTGGGCATTTTCTCTACACTTCCTCCAGTGTCTTTCCAAGACCATTATTCTGCATTCCTTTATGTTCCCCGTGCTCATTTGAAGTCTGTTGCCCAAGGCTCCTACAATGTGATAGCCTACCTGATCATAGAATTATAAAACCTAGAAAAGGGACCTCAGTAGTTGATCTATTCCAACCCCGTGATCAAAGCAGGACCATCCCCAACTATATCATCCCAGCCAAGGCTTTGTCTAGCCAGGTCTTAAAAATCTCCAAGGACAGAGATTCCACTTACCTCTCTAGGTAACCTGTTCCAGTGTTTTACTACTCTCCTAGTGAGAAAGTTCTTCCTAATATCTAACCTAAAGTTTCTTGCTGCAACTTGAGACAAATAATCCTTGTTCTGTCATCTGCCATGACTGAAAACAGTCTGGGTACATCCTCTCAGGAACCACACTTCAGGTAGTTGACAGTGGCTATTAAATCCTGTGTCAGTCTTCTCTTCTGTAGACTAATTAAGCACAGTTACCTCAGCCTCTCCTCATAAATCATGTGCCCCAAGCCCCTAACCATTTCTCTTGCCCTCTGCTGCACTCTATTCAACTGCTTCACATCCTTTGTGTAGTGGAGGCCCCAAAACTGAACACAGTACTCCATCTATGGCCTCACCAGTTGCTCAATAGAGGGGAATAATCACTTTTCGTGATCCGCTGGCAACACACCTACCAATGCAGCCCAGTATGCCGTTACCCTTCTTGGCAACAAGGGCACTCTTTTGGCTCACATTCAGCTTATTGTCCACTGTAACTCCCAGGTCTTTTTCTACAATAGCAGAGGAGAATTTTTTCAAGGGGATGTTTTAAGAACCTAATATATTTATTATTAGGAATTTTTTTAATAGCTTTCAGCATGGAGAAGATTTTCCTTGTGCCTTTCTCTTTCTTGTCACTCACTGCTATGTTTGCATCCATCCAGTGCATAACAATGTTTCTTGGCAATTTCTATGCACTTCCTCCAATGTCTTTCCAAGGCCATTATTCTGCATTTCTTTATGTCCCATGTTCTCATTCAAAGTCTGTTGCCCAGGGCCCCTACAATGCTATAGCCTACCAGATCACAGAATTATAGAATCATAGGAAAGGGATGGTAGGGACTAGAGTTCAGCTATTCCAACCTCCTGCTCAAATCAGGACCATCCTCAACTAGGTCATCCCAGTCAGGACTTTGTCTAGCTGTGTTTTAAAAACCTCTAACGATGGAGGTTCCACAACCTCTACAGGTAACTTGTTCCAGTGTTTTACAGCTCTCCTACTGAGATTTTTTTTGCTAATATCTAAGCTAAACTTCCCTTGCTACTACTTGAGACCATTGCTCTTTGAGTTTTCATCTGTCACCACTGAGAACAGCCTTGCTCCATCTGCTTTGGAACCACCCATTCAGGTAGTTATAGGCTGCTATTAAATTCCCTATCATTAGTCTTGCTTTCTATAGACTAGATAAACCGAGCTGCTCCAGCTTCTCCTGAAAATTCTTGTGCCCCAGACCCCTCATCGTCTTTGTTGCTCTCCCCTGGACTCCTTCCAACTTGTCCGCATCCTTTCTGTAGTGGGGGCCACAAAACTGGACAAAGTACTCCAGATGCCGCCTCACCAGTGCTGAATACAGGGGAACAATTACTTCCCTTGATCTGCTGGCAGCACTCCTATCAATGCAGCCCAGGATGTTATTAGTCATCCTGGCAACAAAGGCTCACTGTTGTCGTGAATCAGAGCAGCCGCCCGCAGCTTGTCTGACTCACACACCGGAGTGCTTAGATTTAGAGCTCGGCAGGCGGGTAGTGATGGATGGAGTGGAATTAACCAGGCACAGACACGTGTAGGTTACAGGAGTTTGTTTACTTACGTCGCCTAGATAGTGATGGACGACGCAGGCGAGCCTTTGTTCCATTACAGCTTCGGTTATAGAGTTGAGTATACGCGTATAACTTCGGTTACAGAGTC